AAATTAAAATTTTTCTTTTTTTTTTTTTATGTGAAATTTTTTTAAAAAATGTATTTCCTTGAAATTTGACTGAGATTTGCACTTCTAATGTTTTTCAATTTGAGATTTATACTTTTGATATTTTTCAGCTTGGGGTTCGCATTTTTGGTATTTGAAGGTATGTTGACTCTGCACTTGTTGTTCATTTTCTTATTTGAGAAAAGTTATAAATGTTTAAGTGTCCAATATATTTTTTTTTTGATTTTCATGTATCATCATTAGGTCCCTAACCTGTTCATCTCATAAGATATTTTAAAGGTTTGTTTTTTCATTGTCATTTTTCAAGAATTTTTTCATTTGATATTCTTCTTCATTATTGATAAATTCTGATTCTGATTCTGATAAAGCTCCATTTCTGCAGTTATATGGCTTCAATAAAGATATATGAAATATAGAATAAATATTTTTATATAAAAATGACAGTTTCAGTCTGTATACTTGTGTAAGAGATGGGCTACAAGAGTAATTACAAGAGTAGTGTGAAGTACGCACAAAGGATATTAAGAAGGTAGCAATCTCTATTGTTCAAAGCTAATCGCTGATCTCCTAAAATCCACGGATATCAGCGAGCATTATATAGATAATATTGCCATCGCCACGTATCTATCGCCACGTATCTATCGCCACGTATCTATTTCCTAATATAGATATCTCCGTTGCGCCTATTACAACTTGTCTTCTGATAATATTTAAAATTTTGAAGAGTTGAACATATTTATGATTGAGTTTATGAACTGAGTGTAGCAATTGAAGGTTTTTTGCATTGAGCATGACATAATCATTTATTTTAAATTATTAAAGTTTATATTTTGCATTGTAATAAGTTTTCTGTGCTTGTCACATCTTTTATAGATTTTCAATAAGTTTGTGATGCGTTTTCTCAATATATTTCGCGCAGCTAGCAGCATATATGGCAACTGGTTGTGGTGATTTGTTGATATTAATTTTTAAATCAGATTGATATTTTATTAAGATTTCTGCAGGTGTCATTTCAGTTGAGACATATTGAGAGATATTGTAAATAAACTGCACTAACAATAGTCAATGTGCTCAATCATTTTGATGATAATTGATAAAACATTAAAGATAATATTTCAAAGTTTGATTTTGTCATTCTGTCTGACCATTTATTTGAAAGTGAAAAGCTGTTGAAAGTTTCCAGCATGTGTCTAGCATGTAATAAAAAATGGATCAATAATGACTTGTAAACATCAATTCTTGATCAGATATCTGGTTTTTAGATACTATGTAAATTGTATAAAACTTGATATAAACAATTTATACTAGTTTATCAGCTGTAATATTTTTAATGCAAGGAATATGGATTGTGAACTTGGTATATATATCTACAATCATTAAAATCACATTGTAGATTTGATGGAGAAATGTAGAAGCTGGCAAGTCTGTAATAAAATTCATAATAACAGATTCAAAAAAATTTGATGATAAGAAAATTATATTCAACTTTTCATATTGTTTGTGATATTTTGATTTTATTCTTTGATAAATATCATAAATGAATATATAATCTTTAATATCTCTAACTAACTCATATCAATAATATTTATTTTGAATACTGTTTATAAACTTTTTAATATCAAAGTGACCTTTTTGCAGATCATCATGGTTTGCACTGATAATTTCATTAATGAATGCTTTTTATTGAGGGATATACATGCGATCATCAGCATGCAATATATTATTCTTAGAGATTGTTCATAGTATATTTTCAATGACAATCATACTCTTTTTTTTTATTTTTTTTTTTACTCAGCAGTAAAAGAATCAATCTTTTAAGTTTTTATTAAAAATGAGATGAAGAATTTAGACATTTTTGTATATGCTGAGTTTTCAAGAATAGTTTTATTGACTGCAATTCAGAGCATATATTGCTCAACATGTGATAGAGAGAAAGAGTTTACATGAGAGATATAAAACATCAATATATGAAGCACTTTTCTATAATGCACTCGTTTATTATTTCCTTATTATTATATTATCTTTGTTTATATCTTCGTCTATTCTTACCTCTTTCTATTATACTCTTGCTACCACTATTTCTATATGTATATATATATATAGATGCATGTATTTCGCACATCTTCTTTCTCTTTCTTTTCCTCTTCAGCGATTAGCTACAACTACAACTTCAACTACATTACTACTACTATAATTACTATTATCTTCTACTACACTATATACTATCTTCTACTATTCACTCTTCACACTGTCATCACCCCTCACATTTTCACTCATTAAAAGAAGCATTTTACTCATTAGAGACTTATGCACAGATTACATCAGAAGAAATATTATTTTGAAAAGAAGTATCAATTTTTTAATTTAATCTAATTTCATGTTTCAGCTTCTGTTGCAGAGTAGATAACATAGTTTGATCATTATAGATCTCACTATAATCTGTATGATGACTGAATTCATAAGCTGAAGTCTTTAATTCAGAGTAATGTAATAATATAAAATCATAAGCAAATAAAGCTTCTGCTTATCTGATCTAATGTCTGTTCAATTTCTTAATCATTATAAAATACTGCAGATTGGCATGATCAGATCAGGTTTAAATTAAATACTGATTTCTTTTCAGATAATATTTTCAATTTTTAAATGCTGCTACAATAATTAAAAATTCTTTATCATGAATATCATAATGCATTTTCACATCAATCAACTTTCTTAATCAGAAAGCAACTGAATATCAGCGCTTATCATTTTGCAATTGTGACAGAATAGCAGTGATTGTAAAAGTGGATGCATTAGATTCAATCTGAATACACTGAGCAAAGTCAAAATGAATTAATAGAGGAGCATATATAAAGCTTATTGGAGCTCATGAAAGCATTCTGAGCATCTTGCATTT